TTATCAAAATTATTTGTTTCTTATAAAATATACCTTATAATATCAATATTATATCAAGTTTTCAAATGTTAAGAAGGTGAAATTATTAACATTTTGTATAATTATATTTCATTTATAAAACACTTATGAAAAGATATATAAAATCTATTGTTATTTGTTTATGTTTTTACATCAATTAATAAGTATAAGATGATTACCCAGCATTTCTTTTCTAATTGAATGTTAGTAATTGTTATTCTTGTTATAGGAAATGTTTTAATCAACTGAAGATAAAAATTTGTTAATTGATGTTGCCTGCTTATTGAAAGAAGTTATTTACACCATAGTCATAATCCACCTGTGTCTCTATAAAATTAATCAATACAGATCAATTATAACATATTTAATATAAACTTAGAGTGGAACAAATTGAAGATGATACCTAATAGTGAAAGTACAGAAACAATTTATAACAGAAGCACACCATGTGTGTACAGAAGGCAATTTGAATCAGTAAATGATATATTGTTTGGATGGGATAAATTTAACGCTGTGACATTTCTTATACTGATCTGTCTGTTCTGTATTTGGTGTATAACATTTTTCCTAATGTATCATCCCCACACATCTCATGACGGCCATGACGACCATGCAGGCCACGAAGGTCATCATGATTCACATATGTAAATTTGTCCTTTTTGACAGTTCAACTTTCTAACAGTACGTACACATTTCAATTTATATTTTCATAACTTATATTAGAAAGAAAAACATAATATTAACAGTAATATATTTATGCGATTCAGTTAAAATGATTTATAATGTTCATTCTTTATCTTTTTATAGAACATTTCAAAAAGTCATGAGAAACACAGATATATCAGGTTAAGATATTATATTATTTCTAGATTCACAGTGAGACATTAAAGACTTTAGTAATGAAGTCCCTCATGTGTCTGTCTTTTATAAATTTTATCTTCATGTTCAAACGACTACAAAGAATATAATTATTCTTTATTCATTTAATATTGAATATTTTAATATTTAAATTTGTACAGTTACTTGCAATTATTTTTCCTGGAAAATATACCAGATAGTTAATAAACATTGGAGCAGCAATTACTGAAATGTAAATGAAATGCATTAATTAAATGTAAAGAAAGTTTAAGTTTAAACTCTAAGTTAAAAATTGTATAATTATTTTTCTAATAAATTTCATTTTACAATGGTTTTTTCAATTAACTTTATTTTATTTTATTTTCAGATGATTACAATTATTATTTTCATGAACATGTTAATCTTAAGTGACAAAAATGACATTCTAAATAAAGTCAGTCGCTACAAAAATTATACTTAAAAATGCCAAATTTTCTATGTGTACTTTTTTATTAACACTTACGTATAGTAATAACAGACTTGATACAAATGATGTAAAAAAATCATGAATTTTTTTCCTTATTCTGTCAAATATTACCCACTTGTTAATATTATTGATTTGAAAACAAATTTATGTTGAATTAAAATGTTTAAAACAACTATATGTGACTATTATTTTGATAAAACTTTTATAAGAATACTTAAGAGTTTTTTTATTAGAGCAAACAGAACCCGACTGAGAACTAATTTTTTTAAGTATTTGCACATTAGAGAACTGATGCTTCAAATATATTCAATGTTATAACTACATGGATACCCATCAGATAAACAGATAGGTATAAATTTTGAATAAAACATTTCCAACATTTGAATTAAATTATTCCTCTTTGTATTATAATAGTACATAAACTTTTGACAGAGAAACATTTTTATACATATTTATTTAGTTCTTACGAATATAGTTGTAAAACATTTGGTGATCATCTATGTATGCATAGGAAAATATTTTCATAAGTTAAGTTCAAAACAAGTTACCCATAGGACCATAAGTATAAAAATATCCTAAAATGAGTAATAATATTGAATTACACATGTGGTACGATGAAAGTACTTTTTAAAATTATAATTGATTGAAAATGAAATCTTTTCATAGTAGACTTAATTTTATAAATAATTGAATTTACCACATGAACAGGCTTAGTAAGAAATTTTTATTTATACCATACATAATCAACAATTTTCGAACGTAATTAGCTCATAAACAAAACATATTATTAAAAAATTTGTTATTTCTTACTCGTTCATACCACGATTTCAGAAACATTCCATACTTTAAATACAGTTTTCCTTAATGTTACCTTTCGAACATTACCGTACTTTCAAACGTTTTTAATTTTGCACATACAGTCTTCCCTTCATAAAAAGTAATACCGATATATGTCTGCAAAACATGATATTATTGAAAGGATTGTTCCAATACCACTGTTTACAAATTTTAACAAAACTTTTATAAGAATATTTTGTGTTGACAACCTATCTCTATATCTGTTCTAACCTTAGGTTTGGTGCAAAGTGTAGCTCTTACGTCTAAAGCCACGCACGAAAAGTTAAAAGTGCTCAGAGGCAAGAGGAATTTGCCGCACGTTTCACCACGGTCCTTCCAGAAAACATAGTAACCCAGCTTACATGTCCCGATATTCGGCAAACATAAAAAGTCGCTGCCGCGCCGAAACGAAATCCGATGTCAATGTTCGTAAGTACATCTCACTTCATCGCATTCCGTTTCGCTTGCGTTCTTTAACGTGCCGATACTGAGGCGTTACTGTTGCCATGACTACCGAGCCGCACCACCAGTGGACGTCACCCTTGCCCCTCTGCACTTCATGATAGTGGCTTGCGGGAGTTCGGCCAAGATGCGAGCGTTGCACTATGTATGACATTTAAAAATAAATGTTTGTACTTGACCACAAACACAGGTTTAAAGGGGAAAATTCTACATCTAATTATAAATTTTTGCTTATATGTTAAACTTTGTTCAATTTGTATGCACTTTAAATTATCTACATTTTGTACTTGTTCATATGATTTTTGACAAAAAAAGAGAATATGGCAACATTACGCGGTATTCCCAGGCGGTCACCCATCCAAGTACTAACCACGCCCAGCGCTATTTAACTTCGGTGATCGGACGAGAACCGGTGCATTAAACGCGGTATGAACGTTGCCTAAAATACGTTTGAAGTATGTGTAACACAAGTATATAAAATGTAATAAAATAATTTACTAGATAAAAATTATACAGTAAACATTGTGTAAGAAATACTATAATGTACTAAGGAGGCACCACTGACTAGTATTTACAATACGTATATTTTTCTGTTAATTTTTACAATGTCATATGTTCCGCATACAGAGGCAAGGACTCTGATTATGATTACAAAATGCTCCAACTCCTTGTCGTCGCGACTTTTCTTCGCGTATCGATGCCCAGCCTCGCAAGATCGCTAGCTTTCCCTGGGAATGTCGACAGGAAAAGCATCTATATCTTTATCTGTATATCCCTCGTTGCAACTCCAACATCTGCAGGCCCTTGACGAGCATCGACGGGGTTGACAAAGGACATGGCATCTGGATAATGCAGTCGTTCACGCAGAACAACTGTCCGAACCCGATCACAAGATGTTATTGCCTGACACCCTTTTGACTTCTTAGCCAGATTTCCAACGTTTTTTACAATTGGGTAATTGCAACATTCGTTGGGGCCCGAATATTACAATTGTAGGATGAATGGTTTGTTGTGCGTGCGTAAGGGCGACCAGATCGTATTTTAAGCGAGGATCCGCTTTTATCAGCGTGGCTCTCGCTCTGTTTATTGCACCTCAAGACTCGGGGACTTTCCCTTAATTATAGTCACCGGCCACAAGACAATACCCACACACGACGGGTGGCTATAGTCGCCGGCCACAAGATGTCACCTACACACGACGGGTGGCTATGGTCACCGGCCACAAAAATGGAGCCAAAAGTTAAAACAATATGAACAATAGCAAAAATATGTTCATGAAAAAATTATAAACACATTGCTATGAATACAAATCACTTTGCTTCTAAAAGCAGTGTCACAACGGCGTTTTGGAGACAAAAGACTTGACCCTAAATGCTGAAGACTGTGCGCGTATGTTTCCATTTTTGGTGCGGCGTTTCGTTCTATGGGAGGGACTCCGCGGCGAGGCACGCCTTAGCAAAAGAATTAACACATTGAGCGTCGACTCCGCGATAATGCGGGATTTTTAGTCTACCGTTTAATTGCTAATCCTACGTTCGTGTATCATTTTAGACATGTATAACACAAATCCAAAGTAAAATTTACAAAATCAAATTCCTTATTCTCTTCCGTAAGTTAGAAATTTTGGTTTGATCGATGTTTAAAAGTGTATCAATATAATCACCGACGCTAGCGTTTTTAGTAGCTGAAATTTAGCCGGCGTTCAATGTGTTAAGAAGGCACTGATTGACGAAACGCAGACGATCAGCGTTCGACTTTCCCTTCACTAATATTATCTTAGATATATTTAAGCTTATTATATATATATATCACTGCCATTTTGTACATACAAGATCACAATTATAATATTTTATTATATTTATATTCCTCATTTTTTAGGCAACGTTCATACCGCGTTTAATGCACCGGTTCTCGTCCGATCACCGAAGTTAAATAGCGCAGGGCGTGGTTAGTACTTGGATGGGTGACCGCCTGGGAATACCGCGTAATGTTGCCATATACTCTTTTTTTGTCAAAAATCACATGAACAAGTACAAAATGTTGATAATTTAAGCTACATAATGATTAAACAAAGAGTAATGTATTGTAGCGGAATATGGTTCATAGCTCGAAAGGTCAAGCGAATTACTTGCAGAGGCTAAAACAAAAGCGCAAAACTTTGTTTAATCTCTGTCAGTAAAAAGATTATCTGAAAATTACTTTATGACGCATGTAGGACGGACCAAGTGTGTTTTTTCTGCAATGACACTCGCTCGCCATGCACCGTCATGGGACTAAATACTGACCGCGCAGCCGAGGAAAGTTCCAAATATTATACAAGCACCACCGTGCCCAAAAAGCTAGCAACAAGGGGGTTTTCCTCTGGCAAAACAAGACAGGTTGAAAGAGGAAAACTCTACCCTCGCGTCTCTGGAAAAGGCAACAACTTTTCCAATGACACTGTATAAATATATCGAAAAATCTGCTAGGCGCTCTTCTTCTAGTGTACACCGCATCGTGAACAATGACTCATTCTTGCTGTACATTGTACCGCGAGCGTCGAAGTGTGCCGAGTCCATTGATTCCAAACTTTAATAAAAACTTAGAGAAAACTATAATTCTATCATTTCCAGTAATCCACAGCGTTACAATATAAACAAAAATATATACTTTGATGTAAAATCTTCCCTTTTAAACCAATATTTGTGATCGAGTCCATTGTTTTTAAATTTCATTTACAGTGCAGCTCTCATATCTTGGCCGACTCCGACAAGCTACTAACACTAAGTGCAGAGGTACAAGGGGTGACGTTTACTTGCGGTACTCGGCCCGGTATGGCAACAATGACGCCTCAGTTTCGGCACGTCAAAGAACGCAAACGAAACGGAATGCGAGGAAGTAAGATCACGAACATTGGCGTCAGATTTCGTTTCGTCAAGGCAGCGGTTTTATATGTTTATCGAATCCTGGGGACACAGAGGCACGGTTACTATGTTTCCTGCAAGAACCGAAGTGGAGCGTGTAGCTGATTACCATTATATCTGTGCACTTGTAGCTTCATGGCCGCGACTTTAGACGTGAGTTATATTTTTGAATTCATATTCCCGTATTTAGCTGATACCATTGAATTCAACGACCTGCTGAATATGACCTCAAAGTAACCTTGAGCTTTGAAATTGAAACTCAATCAAGAGCATGCTATTGCGGAAAACTATTTGATTAGGATCAGTTGTTTATACCAGTTGAATTAAATTACATCATTTTAATTGTACAACGCAGAACAAATCTCTCGTGGTATAAGAGAGTCTTATCGTACACCTCCTTAAGATCGCCCTTGACAATATTAAGAATTTAATGACTAATAGAAATTACAGTGAATCCTTCTGCAGTATTAACTACCATCACTGAAGTAATATCAAAGGAAGATGAGATAAATTCACTAAGCTCGAGTGTACAGAATGCTCTCCTTGAATTGCTTTCTGCATATA